CAGGGACAGGTACCAAAGTCAGTAGCTAGCAAACAAACAGGACTGCCCAGTCTGGGGCTGTCCCAGGACCAAGGAGGAGGCTGTGTATCTTCAGATGTGGGCTTCTCTCAGGGAGTGTCTCCAGAGCTCAAAATTCAAGTCCAGCAGGTCTTCACCTCTATGTCTGCCTTCCCAGGCCCGTCCGTCTAAACCCTAAACCATTTTTGCCACCACTGCCTTTTCTTTTTTTGATAGACTATACCATCAAACCATGAGTCAAAATAACCTTTTCTTCCTTCAGCTGCTTCTTGTGAGGTATTTGGTCCCAGCAATAAGAAAATTAGTAACAGAATTTCTCTATGATTTATGCTAGAGGTCTTTAATCACAGACTATATTCAAGAAGCATGCAACGGGATGCTTCTTTCTTCTTCCTCCTGGCATCTACGTCATTACTGTACATTTTATTTTACACGTACTATAAATTTATGATTCTTTCTTATAATTGTCCTTTGGTGTCTGTAGGGCTTACTTCTGGGACTCACTGTGGATACCTACACTCAGGTATGTAATCCTTTACATAGCAGGAGCTAACATCTTGCCACCTACTCTTTTCCTCTTGAAGGCAGAGTGATCCTTTTCAAACAGTGCGAGCATCTCGGCTCAATGTTCCTAAGGTCGAGCACAGTGATGGCCGAAGTCTTAACAATGGCCTCTGAGGATCTAGGCAGCCACACTGCCCTCTTTGATGTTGTACCATCTCAAGAACATGCCCCAGCCCAAGGGCCTGGCACCTACACTTCTCTCTGGCTAGAATGCCTCAAGGGCCTGTCTCTTTCAGGTCTTTGCTAAAGGGTCATCTCCCCAATGACGTCTTTCATGGTATCACCCACTAAGCACCCACACTAAAGAGGAAACAGCTTCTCACGGCCTCCTAGCTTCCCTCACTCCTCTTTCTGTGACAGTACTCACTAGATCCCACTAGCAGGCATTTTACATATTTCTCCCACTAGAACCATAATTCCTCAAGGACACGGCCTGCTGTCTCTCGTGCCCATACTGTATCATTAGTACTATCTTATGGAATGAATGAATGAATGAATGAATGAATGAATGAATGAATGAATGAA